CCTCTCCAACTCCAGCACCCCCAAAGTCCACGAACGGTTGCAGCTGCGACGACGGCTGCGGCTGCGGCGGTGGTGACGGTGGCGGCTGCGGCGGCGACTGCGACGAGGGAGGAGGAGACATCGCGGGAGGCACGAACGTGAGCGAGGCAGCCCCAGGCGTGGAACGCAGACGCGTTACCAGGGAACCCGGTCCAAAGAAGGGTCGCTAAGAGCGAGGCCAGAGGTTAAGCTGGTGAGTGGCGTAGCGAACGGCGAACGGCCACAGAAAATGGGGTGCACTGGGATGGATCATGGAGGTACGAGCCACCTCCATGACCAAACCGATGCGTCGCTCAGCGACCCCATTCTGCTGTGGGTAGTCCGGTAGGGTGTACGTGTGGGTGATACCCTCCGCACGACATAACTGACCCAGCCGACCAGAGGCGAACTCGCCGCCATGGTTGGGGTGGAGACACAGCACAGGGAGACCGCGGTGGAGGCGTGCAGCGACGAGCCACGGGATAAGAATGTCAGACACGTCGGCCTTCCCCTCCAGGGGAAACACCGTGGTGTAGCGCGTGAAGTCGTCAACGAGCACCAAAAAGTAGTGCTCGCGACGCGGTCCAGGGACAGGGGCTGGGCCCCAGACGTCCAAGTGCAGGGTCTGAAGGGGTGCAGCGGCAGGGCGAAGTGAGGAGGAGTGAGGAGCAGGGCGCAGCCGGCCCTCGATGCAGGGCGTGCACGGCGGCGCAGGCGAGGGAGGGAGAGCAGGGAGCGACGCAGGGAGGCCGAGGACTAGACCGTGCTGAGACATGTGACGCAGGCGGGGGAGCGGGGGATGACCTAGGCGGTGGTGCCACAAAGGTGACGAGTGAGTGAGCAACTGATACGAGCAGGCCGCAGTTACCTAGGTGGACGCAGGACCGGAGGAGGACTCGCCCGCCAGGGGGGGAGCAGTGTCCAGCGTAAATAGGCAAGACACAGGGTCCCGGGGGAACGTCGCAAGGGGGGCACCTGAGGCGGCCTCAGAATAGACCGCGTACCGCTCGTGACCAGGGAACGTAGTGGTGACGCCGAGGTCCTGAAGACAGCCGTCACCAACTGAGTTCCTGGAGAATGAAGAGATGTGCAGATCTGTAAGGGAACCCGAGGGAACCGTAGGACAGGGAAGGGTAGTGTAGCTGCGAGCAACTACAGGACCAGAGGAGGGGTCCGCAAGGGCGACAGCGGCAGGCGCAGCAAGCGGCGTGAGGGCGGCGTGGTCGCGGAAGAAACATGCTGACGCACCGGAGTCTAGAGTGAAGGACAGCGACGCCGTAGTGGCAGACGACGGAGGAGCAAGGGTAGAGCCTAGGCTAGACAAAGCAAGCTGTCATATGCTTGACGCAGCAGGGGAGTCTGGACTATACACAGGTGCTACGCCTAAGCTAGAGAACACAGAGTAATACGATCCAGAAACACTCGAAGCGTCAGCATACAAAGAATGCAAGGTATAACTAATCTGATCCATGTCTAAGTCAAACACAGGCACACTATGGCGCAGCAGGCTGGGCCAGTCAGGGAGGTCCGGGGCGGGATCAAAGCGGCGACGGAAGAGGTCGTCGAGGCGGCGGAAGTAGCGGGCGGTGGGGTGCGGGCGGCGGCACACCGTGCCACGCAGGGGTCCGGTCTGAAGCTGGTACTGGCAGCTCACAGCACCGAAGCTGCCGATGGACGCCGAGCTGCGAGGGCCACCACCACGACCACCACCACCAGGGGCCACTGGCCACCTGGGCGAGAGACGAGCCCATGGCTGCTGCTGCTGCTGTGACGACTGCTGCTGCTGCTGCAGCTGCGACTGCGGCGGCTGCGATTGCGGCGACTGCTGCTGCTCCCGGGCACCAGCACCAACCCCCTCATCAGAACCACTGTCCCTGCCACCACCACCACTAGCGCCACCCCGACGTCCTCCCTTGGGGCCATGGCGGCCCCGGTGCTTGCGCTGCTACGGGTAAGCCGCAGCTGCTGTCTCACGTGCAGGCGCAGTCATGGCAAATGCGGCGGAGTCGTCTGCGTACGTGTACTGGGAGGGTGCACAGCCCTGGAAGATAGGGATTGCCGCAACACCGCTTGACTGAGCGATAGTGCGCTGGCGAGTCTCTATCTCAGATAGAGTAGTGACAGAGGCGGTCAGGGTGAGGTCGGCAGGGTGCTGACTAAGGAAGTGGTCGCGGCCAGTGGCTAAGCGGTCAGGCAGGCGCGTGGCGATGAGGTACAGGGTAGCACAGAAAGGTGGGGGGAAGGCAGTAAGCTGGGCGGCTGAGCTAGCAGCGTGGTAGCTGGTCTCTAGTGCACGGAGGTGAGTAGCGAGGTCAGCTACCGTGGGGAAAGCAGAAAGATCAGGGAAGCGCATGGGTAGGATCAAGCGGCCAGCAGAGGCGGAAGCAGGTGTGGAGTAACACTCAACTACTTCATCGAGAAAGTCCTTGGCGTTCGCGACAGCGGTAAAGCGCGGACGCTTAGTCAAGGGGACGGCATGGCCAATGGCAAGCTGGGCTACTGCGTCGCGAGAATCCCAGTCAGCTCGAGCAAGTGCTGCAGCAGCAAAAGCCTCGCTCTCAGCAGTGGTAGGGTCAGCAGGGAGGCGATCAGGCGCAGGGGGACGGGTAAGAAAACCATCAACATGCATTGCCAGGGAGTGCCCAACCTGGTGCTGACCTGTCAGGTGCCGGCGGAGGTCGACGAGCCAGGCGGCGAAGTTGATCGCGTGCCCCTCAGCGTCCAAGCGAAGAACGGCGTCCGCCATCGCACAATGTGACAGCGGCACATCGGTTCAGTGGCGGAGCGACTCCGCGGCTCGGCGGCTCAGCGGCTCGGCGGCTCGGCGGCGCGGTGGCTAGGGGACACGGCGGCACGGCGGCTCGGCAGCTCGGCGGCTCGGCGGCGTGGCGGCTCGGGGACACGGCGGCACGGTGGCTTGGCGGCTCAGCGCTACGGTGGTTCGGCGGCACGGCGGCTCTGCGGCGCGGGTGGTCGGCGGCTCGGGGACACGGCGGCTCGGCGGCTCAGGCGACGAGGCCAGCTACGCCGCAAGGGGCCGGCTAGGGCACAAGGGGCCGGCCGGGCAAGCGAGGCTGGCAAGGGCGTGTGGGGCCGACTAGGGACGCTTTGGGGGGGGGGAGGGTAGGAGCACGAGGGGCTGTAGGGGCACGAGGGGCCGGCTAGGGGCGCGAGGGGCCCGTAGGGGTGCGACGAGGCTGGCTAGGGGCGTGAGGGGCCGGTAGGGGCGCGACGGGGCCGTAGTGGCGCGCGGGGCTGGCTTGGGGCGCAAGGGGCCGGTAGGGGCGCGACAGGGCCGTAGGAGCGCGACGGGGCCGGTAGGGGCGTGACGAGGCCGGCTAGGGGCACAACGGGGCCGTAGGGCGCGACAGGGCCGTAGCGGCGTGACGGGGCCGTAGGGGCGTGGCGGGGCTAGCTAGTGGCGCGACGGGGCCGGCTAGGGGCGCGAGGGTCCGTAGGGGCGCGATGGGGCCGTAGGGGCACGACGGGGCCTGCTAGGGGCGCTACGCGGCCATAGGGGCGCGACTGGGCCGTAGGGGTGTGACGGGGCGTGCTAGGGGCGTGACGGGGCCGTCTGGGCACAGCGAGGCCGTAAGGGTGCGACGGGGCCTGCTAGGGGCGCGACGGGGCCGTAGGGGTGCGCGGGGCCAGCTAGGGGCGCGAGGGTCGGTAGGTGGCGGCACGGGGCGGAAGCGGGTGGGTGGACCTATCTACTCGTGATACCATGTTACGACTCAAAGAATGAATAGAAGAAGGGAGAACAGGGGAGATATAGCGTTTGGGTTGTACCCATTAAGAACATACCCTATCTAGCTTATAACTTCTACATAACAATATATGTATAAGTTGACAGTTAGGTTCCCCCCCCCCCCGGCCCACCCGCACTTCCGCCTTAGGCCTAGTCCTAGCCGCCCCGTTAGCGCCCCGCTGGCCAGGCCTCTGGATAGGATTAGACGTACTCTTTCTCATAAGGGTACTCGCTTGCTGCCACTTTTTCTGTAAGGGTATATTTTTAAGCTACTTTTTAATATAAGGGTCCTAAATATTTGTAGTTTTTTCACATAAGGGTATAAGAGCGTGTTCGTACGAGCCTCTTCCCAGGAAACCTCTTCCCAGACCCACGCGCGACCTTGATAGCGTGTTCCGAGGACCCCTTTTTGGAATAATCCCGTTTCATATTTGCGTTCTAACGCTCTCCACCACATAAAAATTGCTGGCGTCGAAAATTTACTGTGCAGATTCGCGCTTGTCTAAAAATATGTTCGTTTGAAAAGAGGTTTTAAAACACGCTCCTGAATCCCGAAAAGCCGAATCTCACTTCTCACTTCGCAGAACTGCACTGAAACATTTCGCGACAAAATTTGCGACACTGTAGCACGCGAGTCTGGGAAGAGGTTGCTTGGGAAGAGGCTCGTAGGAAAACGCTCTAACTCCAGCGCAGCCTTACACTTTACTGTGGTTACAGAATCTCGCGTGATCAGACGACTTACATGTTGCAGATCTGATGTGACTACGTGCCTTGGGCTTTACTCGACAGGGTGCGCCAAGATTTTAGTTTGTTAGCGCTGAAGTGGAGGGAATGCCGCGCCTCGGTAATTTTGCAGTTACTGTATAATTTCTGTGGTCATGGGTTTGGGCGTTCAGTACCAGGGAACCAAACTTTGCGAACTATCGTATTAGCCCGTATAGAAGACCCCCCAGTAATAGAAGACCCTGGGTCTTATAGTAGGCGTCCATCTTGTATTATGGCATTCCGTTTATAAGACCCTCACTGGGCGGTATGAGATAAGATTCCCCCCCCATTTTTAAAGATGTTATTCTATAAAATATGGTAGAATTCCATGCATTCAGTCATCAATGCAGAACTAGGACAGGAGTAGTCTCTTAGAAATCCTCATGGGTCTCCATAATACTAAAATCACAGCCCCCCTCCTCCTCATCTACTGGTCCTGCTGGGGTAATCTAGCATCGCACAGGCATGCCTCGCAGTGCTCTCATGCTCTGTCAGCTTCTCGGCTTCTGCTGCTGCGCCACGGCACTTCTTAGTCTCTGGGTACGGATCCTCCTCTCCTGGCTCCGCCGCTTCACCCCCCCCCCCCCCTCCTCCTCCTCCTCCTCCTCCTCCTCCTCCTCCTCCTCCTCCTCCTCCTCCTCCTCCTCCTCCTCCTCCTCCTCCTCCTCCTCCTCCTCCTCTCCCTCCTCCTCTCCCTCCTCGCCCTCCTCTCCCTCCTCTCGCTCCTCTCCCTCCTCTCCCACCTCCCCCTCCTCTGCATCCCGCTCTTCCGCGAAACCTGCATTGTCACCACTCGTCCCTTGCAAGGACATGTCTTCAGAGACATTGAGAGCTGGCTCCCCACGCATGTGCTAGAGCACCAAGTGCTTGTCTGTACCATCCATGGAGCTTGAAATGCCGCAGGTCTTGAATGCTCACACGATGATGGGCGTCGAAGGTTCCCTATTGGATTTGGGGGCACAAAAGACAGAGGCATTCAAAGTGAATCCTGTTAAGCAAAAACAATGGGCATGACATACAGCTACGAAGATGTGTACAGGGTAGCAAAATACCGCACCTCTCGGAGTCCTCAAGTTTATGCTATGTTTTGCGAATCATTTGGCGTACCGAGCGCGAACTCCTGCTTTGAAGCACCTGTTGACAGACACGTCAAGGGGCTGAATAAGGGGGGCACATCCAGCTGGGATTATTGCAGGTACGATACTGTGTGTCCTGTAGGCGGCCTTCATCCTCCCGTCAGTGAGATGGCCCCTGTAGGAATCCAAGACCAGCATGCTGCGTCGGGCGGCTGATCCACACTTGGGGTTTAGGAACGGCAGCACTTCCTTCAAAAGCCACTTCTTTACGGCCTCCTCGTCCATCCAGCCGTTGACATGCGCTTGAACCTCGACGCCTGCCACACACACACACACACACACACACACACACACACACACACACACACAAGGGAACAAGGCAGGTGCAATTAAGAAACAGAGTCATGATTGCACGCCTGCCATGCATACATAGCCAAGCTTTGTGGTTTGACTGTGGTAGAGGACTCCCAGGAAGGCGGGCATGCAAAAGGGGGAAAGGCCAACCTACCTGGAGGGCATTCGCACTTGGGTTTGGTTTTGCGCTTGAACCAAACCCACGGAGGAAGCTTGTCCCCGTTCGCTGCGCAAGCCAGCATCATCGCCAGACGTTGCTTCTCGTATCCCGCACTCTTCATTGGAACGGAGCGCGATCCCTTGTGCTCCAGGGTCCTTTCCGCTGGCATCTCGACAAACAGCGGCATCTGATCCGCGTTGATGATGCGGCGCATGTCGATGTTGTGGCGGGCGCGGTTGATCCGGACAAATTTCCAGAACCCCTCACAATCCTGGCCGCACTCTATTAATAGGGGAAGAGGGACAATGGTGGGGGGGAGGAGGAGGGGGAGGGGGGGGGAGAGGGGGATGAGAGATCTGACCTTGTTCAGCTAGCGGAACCGTCGATACCGCATGCACGGCAAGCAAGAGAAGGAGCGGGGATGGGCGATGAGTCCAGCAAGCAGAGACGATCAGCCAGTAAGGGAACGCAAGAAAACGTTCACCTGGAGAGAGCTTTTGGCCGACCTTAGAGCGGCAGCGCATGGTGAATCCCCAGCGCTTGCGAAACTGTTGGCTCCAGCTGCTGGACGCCTGCCAATGGCCCTTTGGCTGCTGCTTGCGCATGTAATTGAGGCTCCACTCACGGATCTGTTTCACGCCGACCGCCAAGCCGAGTCCCCACTACTCGCAGATCCATTTGTACAGCTTCTCCTCTCTGACAGGGTGATGAGCATGCCGCCCCGCACTGTGGAGTTGCTTGCGATACTTGGCGGCACCCCTGTACCACCCAAGCATCTGCTGGTCCACCCACCGCTTGATGGAACACAGGCCCACGCCCGCCTCCGCCGCAGTCCACATGAAGGACTTGAGCTCGTAATAGCGGCGGGCCCATTTCGTCTTCTCCTGCACGGTGAAGCTACGGCGATACTTCTTCGAGAGCCGGTTTCGCGGAGACGGCGGCTGGGCATCTGGATTCTTCTCCTGGGGGCTTTTCGGCTTCCTGCCTTCAGGGAAGGTGGGGAGCGGGCCGACTGCCTCTTCATACTGGTCTTCGGAGTTATCTTCGGGGACCGCGTCTGGAGTAGATACGTCAGCCCGCTTTGTGGCCTTCCGGGGACCAAGCGTGACGAATTCTTTCGCTTTGTTTACTGTGGGATGTCGTCCGCCTTAGATTTGCCCTTCTCCGCTGCTGTGTATCACTGCCGCTTGGGAGACACTTCGTTAGGTTCTGCACTCCGCTTCTTCTTTATTGCAGTAGCACCATTCTCGCTGCGCGGCAATCGCTGCTTCTTCACCTTGGAGTCAACCAACCACTTCACACGGCGCTTCTCGATCGGAACGTTTTCGTCACTCATGCCGTCACTCCCCATGTCGTCGCCGTGGCTCACGTCGTCACCGTCACCCATGTTGTCGCAAGCCGCCTCGCAGCCATCCCCGTCCTCCACCTCCTCTGCTGCACCCTCCTCGCCTATGCCGCACTCCTCATTGTCGTCATCACGACCGTATTCCTCTACGTAATCACAGTCATTCTCTTCGCCGCCTGCCATCTCGCCCGCTTGGTTATCATCTTCATCCTCCTCGCCAGCATACCATTCCTCAACCTCCTCCGCGGAACCGATGGGTTTCGTCCACCGGTCGTCGTCAGAGGCGTTGGCAGAGCCGCCGTCCTCAGCGTTGTCGTCCTCCCCCTTGCCCATTCTAGCCATCCCATAGTCAGGCGCCGGCGACGAGGGTTTCTTGGCAGGCGAGGACGAGGTTTTCTTGGCAGCGGTGTCTGGGATATTCAGTGTATGGCCAGGGGAGTTGTGGCGCCCAAAAATGTTGACATAAACGCGGGGTGGTGAGGGATGATTTCCGCACTGCCTAAACCCTGACGCCTTGTCCTGAGGTGGATGCTTGCTGCACATGGCGGCACACGATGACACTAGCCGAGCTGAGGCAGGCTAGAAATCCGATGCAGGGAAGGAAGCGTCGCTAAGGCAGGGGAGGACGTTGAGCTAAGGAATGGGAGCAGAGTTTCCAAGTGGAACGAGAACAGAATGAAAAAATGAGAGGTACACCCCCCTCCGAAAGCTCAGGCCCGGGGCGCGTTTTTCATCGAAGAGGAATCACACCTCGATGAGGAGCAGCATCCAGAAGCTGAGATGCTGCTGTGAAGAGCATCATTCGCCATCCAGCACGTGACGGCCACTGCCAGCTGGTGTGACACTGCAGTACATGCATTCCCCCTTGCGTCACGCTGGCATGCTGTAACGATTGCGGCGTGCGTGAGAAACCCCCCCTTTGTTAGGTGTTTCGTTGTCGAATTATGGACGCACGATCCCAAAAACCGTAATTTGATTTTTTTCCAGCCCTTAAAGTTGGTGCTCCATTTATAAGGCTTTTTTCCATTTATAAGATACACACCCCCCCTGGTTTTTCCATTTATAAGAAATTGTGACACGACCTCAGAGGAGTGTGCAGTGCAGTCGTCATAGCATATCATAGCTCCATAATACAGCACACTAGATAGGGCAAATACATGGCAAGGGAACAAGGCTGAACGGCCATGCTAGTTATCAAAGCGAGGGAGGGAAGGGTGGGCAAGTTGGAACAGAAAAATGCAAATGAGACTAGGTGGCAGGTCTGAAAGACCTGCCGATAAATGAAGGAGTTTGTCTCCTTTACAGCAAACTCCTCTTCTAGTCGAATCACAATCTGTAAATTTTACATTACAAAAAATTTCTCATATTGTGACACGACCTCAGAGGAGTGTGCAGTGCAGTCGTCATAGGTCGAACGAGACATCAAGTGTGAGGGCGTCGACGGTGGCGCTCAAGGGTGGCCTGGTACCGATCGGTCGCGCTCGAGCGAGTAGGATCTTGTAGCATGCGAGAAGCGGCCACTAGCTCGCGGTCAAGCTGAGTAATGTAAAGCTCCTTGGCTGTATCACTTCGCCAACGGCCGAGGGCCTTGAAAAGCCGGTCGGGGACTCCAACGTCAACGGCGACCGTCGCAGCTGCCTTGCGGAAAGAATGGGTGCCCAGGAGGGCTGGGTTGAGGCCGACACGGGAGAAAGCATCTCGAAACCAACCCCGAATGGCGGCGTACGAGGGAGGGCGATCTGAGGGGGAAGCTCGGGCACCTGGCTGAAATATACGAATAAGGGGGCCAAGGGTCTGCGGAGAATAGCCAGCCAGGAAGAGGAACTGTTGGATACGCGACACCGGACAGTGGCGGGCAGAAGAAGCAGCCACTGGGACCCAAACACCGGTGCCCGCTTGGTCGGTCTTCGAACGGGGGATGAACAACCACATGCAGTCCCGATCGAACTCGATCTGGTGCCACTGGAGGGAGATGAGATCAGAGAAACGAAGGAAGGCTGCGAACATGAGGAGGGGAATAAGGCCCCGTTGGAATGTGGCCGGATCATGCGAGGAGAAGTGGAGGTCACAGATATCGTAAATCTTGGCTGGAGGAATGGGCTCTTTCGCTTGAGATGGCTTGCCACAATGACGCATGGCATAATCCTTGACTTGCGAAGAAAAGGGGCCGCGAATCGGGGAGGGGTGGCCGACCAGCCAATGGGCGCAGGATATGGCGGAACACGCAGTGCGCACAGCTGAGACGGTAGCGCCGCGACGGACCGAGTGCAGCAGAAAGAGGGCCGATGTCAGGTCGGTGGCGGGAAGGAAGGGAAGTGAGTGCGCCAAACAGAAGGCTCGAAACTGTCGCCAATAGGGTTCATAAGTGCGAAGGGTAGACTTTGCCCGAAGATCGACGGTGAGTGTGAGAAGGTCCGACAATAATCGACCAATATATGAGCCTGCGCAGTGAAATAAAATGCTCCATTAGTTGAATGCAAAACGAAGCGCATACATTGGAGAGTTCGGAAGACCGGCACCGCTAAAGGCATAACGGTCACTGCCAACACGTAAACAACTAGCACCCAGGGTAAGGCGAAGGGCCATAACGACCTCCGGGGCCCAAGTGAAGCCGTCCAGGCTTAGCAAAGGCCACCAAAAAGCACTAGGCCAATATGGGATCACGAGAGTGAGAGAAGTGCGCGAGCGACGGGCATGAGTTAGGACAGCCGGGATGAGGGCGGGTGGAGGAAAGGCGAAGCAATTCTCGTGTCCCCAGTTAATAGAAAAGGCATCTTGCGCAACCGCCGAGTGTGAGAACTCGAGGGAGCAGAAACGAGCGAGCTGCGCATTGGCAGGGGATGCAAACAAGTCGATGGTATGAGGCCCCCAATGCCTCTCCAG